CCCCCCCCAAATCACTCACAAAATAAGCCAACATACTCGCTCTTGTGAAACCCGTATCTGTTCCATGCACAGGAACTGGACTACTGATTTTTCAATTTTTGCCCATTTCCTCTGCACTTTGTGGTATCAGCTTTGACCAAAGGGTTATTAAGGTCTTGTCTACAACCAAGTCCCGCGCTCCCAATTCAGGTCATAAGAGAGGGGGTAAGGGTATTTCCTTACATAGAGCTGGATGCATTTGTGATACAAGTATTTGATATAGGAAACTAAATAGTCACACTGCTGTACTCTGCTGTCCTAAGTGGCACTAATGGGAGAAGAAAGGTTTGGATAGCAAGTTTCCTTTTTCTTCCCCCTCCTCCTCTCTCAACATACATGCACCAGCTAACTTTCTAAGCTTAGCACACTGAGACTTTCATCTCAGAAATGAAAAACAGCAGCAAACTGAACTGCTAGGCTTACATCAGTTTACCTTACATAAAACAGCTATAGCAAGGAAAATTAATCTAATAACTTTGCTACCTCTTTAAATTTAGATGTTAAGTTCTTTTATAATTTTAAATAGTGCATCAGATTTTAGGAATGCCATTAGTAACACTTCAAAAGTATCTGTTCAAATGTACTCTTGGTTTTTACAGTGTTTTCCTGCTGCAGTGTACAGGAGAATGAGGGTACTGGCACTGAGCCCTTGTGCACAGACTCTCCCCACGCATGACTCAGTAGTTCTGAAGGCAGCACTTCCAGTGCTGGTACAGAATTCCTCTGGTACAATTGCTGTTTATATTGCTTGCATGTGAATATGTGATTCTCCCAGTCTCCAGTCAGATGTCTCCTATACTATATGCAGAACAAAATGAGTCTATACCTCCAAAGAGCCTATAATTCACAGCACAGACAAGTTACCATACAAACAATCACACAAGAATTGAAGAAAATGGAGGTAATAATGGTCCACAGCTACATGTACTCACCTATACACAATCTTATATATAGCCTTCCTTTTAAATCTTATCCCTGCAGAAAAACTTTTTCTTGTGCTGAGCTTGAAGAAAGTCACTAAAACTGTACCTATGCCAGAGAACAGTACAGGTTCAGGGAGTAGGCTGGAGCCCTGGACTACAATTGTCCATGCTGTTTACTGGCACTTTCCTAATTATATTTCTGATCAGCATCAACTAGATATTCTTCCAGGCAACACCTAGCCACAGCTCAGAGGATTTTGCCAGAGTCTGGTCCCAGGAACAGACTTGAGCTCTGCAGATCAGAGCTACACACAATGCATCACCATGGGACCAGGGAACTGCTTCTGGCTTGCACTGTTTCATGCATCACGCTGCCTCCTGTTCCTTCTGCTTATGATTTGTAGGGAAGTGGTGGGAACATTTTAACTACAGTATTTTAACCCATAAAAGAGCACTGGTGGGCAGAATGACCCATTTTGTGCCTTGAGGAACATTCTCAGAATTAGCATCCCATAATACAACAGCTGCACCACCTGTGACCCACATCAGTGGGGACAGCAGCAGCCTCCAGCACCTTCAGAGGGGCTGCTGCAGAAGCATTACAACATCTGATCTACCCTCCACTGCACATCCTGACTGCACCTGAGGGAATGCTAAGCGGATGGGTGAAGGAGAACGGCTGCGGGTAGAAGGAATTTACGTGCAGTTTTGAATTTCTCCACCTCTGCATAAGATGCCAAAAATCTGAAAATGTTGAGTCAGTGTGGCATGTAATTCATGTGCTGCATGGATATACATAAGTAGCTCATACCTCAGAGTTAGCTTTACCAAGGTTTCAACTCCACTGCATACACAACCTTCTACCTTTTAATCTCCATACTGGGCTGAATCGTATGCTGTGTAATTAGGGCTATCTAAACAGTCATCTAAACTGCTACTGAGGAGAACTGGTTTGTGCAGGAAAGGCCAGCTCAATCATGAAATCAACCACAACAAATCTAATAACCGGATGGAAAACTAACACAGAACATGACGCTGCAGACAGAACCTTCATCTTCTGGAACTGAGATGGATCTTCAGCAGCTCAAAACTTCTAACTGTACTCTCTTGCTTTTTACCTTTGATTGAAATCACCGTATAAGCAAATCTTCTACTAAAAGAAATGACGGAATAGTATTTTTTTCCATATTTCTCAAGTAATCTGTATTTTGAGTGGTGAGACTACAGTAATGTCTAACCTCTGGTAAGGGACTGAAGAAATCAACACCAAGAAGCAGGACAGACAAGAGCTCTAGTTCTAAGGAAGGAACAAGCCAACAGCCAAACCCCGTAAAAGCCCAGAATTAATTTGCTCAGAGTTTCAGGGAAAACTTATCTTTGCTGGAGCTGTGTGTCTACAATTATCAGTTACAGTGACAACTTCCCTTCCCCAGTCTCTTCTGATCGTGACGATATTGTTTGCATGTCAGAGAGAAAACACTCTTTAAATTATGTGTCAGGACAAAATTACACCACCTGCCAAAGAAATAAGGACTGAAGTTCAACTGCTTGAACTTTTAGAAATCAATTAAGTAGTTAATCAGTGATGTACTACAGATTCATATTCGTAATCACAGCTTGCACACAGCCTCAGTGATGCAAGAAAGCTCATTGAATGCCCCCCAAATGCTGTCCTACTTTTGTAGTGCCATCTAACCCACAGCCCTGGCAAGCATGCTCACTTTGTATTTGTTCTCCAATTTGGCAGGGGTAGGAATGTGGCCTCTCCTCCGGAAGGTTGTAAAGTGCTTGCACTGAGGGCACGGCTTGGTGCTGGAGTCAATGCGGCTGAGTTCCAGAAAATATTTATACTTGATGATGTCATCGTGGGGCAGGTTATAGAGGATGGTTGTTTCATCCAGGTGTTCGCTGCATTCTGTGATCGGGCATTTTATATCCGCTTGTCCCAGCTGCACCTGCATATGGAAAAACCCAGAAGAGCTATATGACCTTTGCTTGGAAAAAGCAAGCAAGCATTTGTGAATTTTGTGAGAAAATTTAATTTCAAGTACTGTAACAATCCACAGACTATCAAGCACATAGTCTTTAAAGTATTTTGACTTACTCCAAGCACACTGCAGTTTTTCCAGAAGGTAATTTCAAATCCAAACTGAAAAGCTTATTACCCTTATGACAACTGCAGTTATTAAATGTATAGTCTCAGTGTATGTACCATGGCTATGCACTCTGCAAAACCAAAACACGAGCCCTAACTAGCAGCAGTCATCCAGCACCCCACGCTTTGTGTGTAATGATAAGCGCTCCACTATCACAGCTCATGAAGGCTGTGAGAAAGCAGGCAATGGAAACATTTGTATATTTTTTCACTGCAAAACGTGCTGGGAATCAGAGAAATGCACAAAGAAATTAAAGTCAATTTAGGATCATCAGAGTCTAGCAGCTCTGACTCAGTGCTAGCCCTGAGCTGGCTCCTGCTCAGCAAGCTCAGTGCCTCTGCAGTCTGCTTCCAAGAAGCAACTTATACGCCACACTGCATATGCAGAAAGTGTCAGCTGAGCCTGGGGCTGATCAAGCTAATAAATTTTCCCAGAACTCAGAGTTAAAGAACAACTCCCCAAACCCCACAAAAAACCTTGAAAAAAAAAAAATCCTAAAAAGATGACCAAAACAAAAACGCACAGAAGCAAGATCAAGTTTAACAGAGCTGAAACTGCTGTTGATCTAATGAGCCCAGATAGTCCCAAGCTGATCCATATGGTCAGATATCCGCAATGTGGTTCCAGAGCCCCTGGACCTGAGAACAGCACTGGCCCCAGGTCTGCACCCTTCACGCTTGGCAAGCTTTTAACAGCTCGGATTCTATGCCAAAGCAGCAGATCCTACTTGGTCCGAGAGCAGCAGAGTTGCATTTGCTTGGCACCGAGCCTGAGTTGTGATCCCTGCTGGATCCTGAGAGTCTGCAAGGACCAGGCTCGAGCACGTTTGTGTCTGCCTCAAGTAATCTTGAATGAATGAGTGTTGACTGTACAAGTGGAGCTGACCACCAGCCCAATTCCTTCCTTAGCAGGTATTTCCCGGCAGTGAAAATGGTATAACCAGCATCTCTTTCTAGGAATTACTGCTTCGAGGTTAGCAAGTTTGATTTCCCTAGACTGCTTATTCTTTAACATACTCCATTATGGGAATCTGCCAAACAATACACTAAATAGGATAGGAACAACTCAGATTTGGATGCAGATCTCGCTGCTGCATAGCGACACAAGAATACGCCTTAGAGACTCCATTAATGCAGTATTTAAGCTCAGAAAGGACAAAAACAGAAACCTAAAACCAATACAACCCTGTCAATTCTTGCCTCAGCAATGAAGCCATATGGGCTCTAATTGAATGATAATTAATTTAGTCAGGAACCAGAGGATTAGAAGAGTCATAACAAAATGGTATCAAACCCAAGGCTCATACCGAATTCACAAAAATCCCTATTGCACGACCTTTGTTCTCTCAGCAATGCAGCTAAACCCAAGCAGAGCAAAGAGGTTAGGTATATGTTAGAGAGAGAAAAGCAGGGTGAGGACGGCGGCAGCCCGTCCCAAGACCAGAGCATGGCAGAGAAGACCTTGGCGAGCGATTGCTGCCATGGTGCCCTGCACAGCCTCAGGTCAGGGTGCAGGCAGATCTGCCTGCGGTACAGAGGAGAGGCAGCTCCCCCAGCAATACACCCACTCTCAGGAGGGAACTTCCCTGAATTTCATTTCCAGCTCTAAAATTTGAGCAGAGCTCTACCACACGCAAACAAGTCTAGGCTCAAACAGTTTGGCTTTTACACAGACCACTGTAAGTGCAAGAGGAGTATTTACTCAAAGATATATATTTTTAAAAAAAGCCCCAAAAGTACATGCTGGGGAATGTTCATATTTTATACCTGCAGGACACTAATTCACCTGTAGCAGTACATGAAAATTGAACTCAAGTGTATGACATCACTAGAGTGACTGCTCTCAGAAGAATCACCCAGTACATCATGGAGCGGTGCTTAAAAACTAGATGATCAATCCAGCACTACAGCACTCAAACACGCTAAACTAGGAAAACAATTTGCTACAGAAATATAAAAAGCTATTGCACTACTGCAAGGATTAGTATAAGCTTCTGTTTAAAGAAGTGTAGGTACAATAACTTAAAATCAAACAGTTAAATTAATCCCATCTACAACTACTTCAGGGTTTTGTAGGGGATTTTTTAAGCATTAGGGAAATACTAAAAGAGCCAAGCCTTGTTGCTAAGTGTAAACTAAGCTACAATGGAAGAGCACTTCACAGGGAGAAGGCACATTGTATCTGGCATCTAGGCTGGTACTTAAGAAGCACTGCTTATATTAAGTGCTAGTTAGAACAAACCTGCATTAATAAAATGAAGGAATACAAAGCTAAACACTTTCTGTATTTCAAGCCCACACAGAATATGATTAATATATGTGGTAAGAGTCAAGTGTGGTTTCAGTGTTTATTTTGAAAATATGTTTTACACCCACTTGAAGTAAACCATTTTTATCTTCTGTAGTAGTTTCAGCCTTTCAAGTCTGGCAAAGATTGATCCTTTTCCTGTGTTTTGAATGGGACTGAAGCGAACAGAACTGGTTTGCTTATTAACAGTAACTTCAATGGAGCCTTGTCTTACCAAAACAGTCCATCTTTGTTTGTGCACTAGCATCAGCAATTAACGTAAGTACAGCTTTAGAGGTAGCCTGTTAGGCTACCTGCTGCTGCAGACCCAGGAGGTGCTACAGAATGGGAAAGAGAAAAAAAAATCCTCTTATAACATGGGTTTTATTCTTTTCCTTGATTTTTTTTAAAGAAATTTTGAAGAGCCTTATTCTTCAATATCAGCTTATGACAATGTCACACCTCCAAGTTTTAAGAAGTCTTTGAATTTCAAAATACCACTGTGTACTAAGAACTCTCAGCATACACAACAGCATGGTGTATTTTCACAGCATGAGTAACGACTCAGATACATCTTAAAAGCAGCTGAGCTGCAGTACAGTGTTAAATGTCAGGCAGCATCCAGTTCTTGCACCCAGCTGTGCTTCACTTTTGTAAAGCATCCCAGGAGGGGTAGCTCTGCTTACAATCCATAAGGAGAAAGCAGGCTCTCGTGACTTTCACCCTACAGAAAGGTAACATTTAAACTATCAGGAGAGCAATACATATACTCCCCCTCCAATTCTTGACATTTTATTTCAAAAGATTTTTTTTTTTTTTTTTTTTGTGGGGTGGGGTGAGGGTAACAACAGGATGGGACCCAGACTCTATACTGGTCCATTTACTGCCCCAAAATGCAGTGATACCAGCAATAGAAACCAGAAACAGATGGCATGGTACTTTAAGTGAGAAAATTATTTCCGCCCCCCAAGCTTTCTTTTAAAGGAAATCTTTGTTAGCTACACAGAAAGCAAAGTTCAAACTACACTGGAAGCACTGATTTATACCTGCCATTTAGCCTGGCCCAACCTGGATGTAACATAACCTGTGCAGGCCGTACTCGGGTGGCTGTATTGTGGCTATATTCCTCAAAGAAGGGGCCATTCTACTTTAAACTAGACACATACAAATGAGCATTTTCTAACTGAAACTTTACTCTTCGTTCAGAGATGCATATGCTAAAAAAAAAAAAAAAAATTGTTCTTACTCCTCACCTATTAATGCTGAAAGAAAAGCGAACAGTGCCATGTCTAATCTGCACCTCTGAAGAGAAATTCAGTTTCTACCAGTGCACCAAGTTCTCCCATGTAAACTACCAAGGACATTATGCATAAAAGAGTATTTTGGAAATGTACAGCTGCAAGTGAAGGGACAGCCTGATCTTCAGGACCTTCATATTCTACAGGGGAAGAAACAAATGGATTAAAGTTCCCTTTATTTATAAGCAAAATCCTCTTGCTTTCTAGTTCATTGG